TCTTAATTTATTCACTTATATCTAATGCTTATTAAGTTATTAATATGATTAATTAATCTTTAACTTTTCCCAATTTTATCCTTATAAAAATGCTACCTCTTCAGCATGATATAACAATTGACTATGAACACTTCTATATTCACCTTCTAATTTTTAATCGATTGCAGTTAATTTACCAAATGCAGGAGATACTAATTTTAATAGTACTCCTGAAAAGAAATACCATAAGAACACATACATGGGTCCTTAGTATCCAATTGATACTGCTAATTTTTTTGAGAATAAAAATATATCTAAAATTGGTTTAGAAAAATTTGAGTAAATTTGAGACAATGAATTTGCCCACTTCTCTATATCTGTTGTTAATCTCTAATCAGGATTAGTAACACGACTATCTAAATTTGATACTTAATAAAAGATCATATTCTTGATGTATTAATCATGAAAGTATTCTGTTAATCTTCTTCTAAATCTAAGGGAAAGTGATTTATTTAGATATTCTAAATAACTATTTACAAAACTTGCAGGAACAGCAACTAAACCTAATTATACGATCTACATTATATTATTTTCATACTTTTTTTATAAACTTTTCCAAATCACCATTAATAATTGTTTTAACTATTCTACCATTCAAAGATGAAATATATATACTCATCATAGTACGAATAACTAAAAACACTGTTAGAACACTCAAATCAAATACTTCCATGCTTTTAATTGAAGGAATAACAATTTTCAATAGATCTAAGATTCTGTTTATAAAAACTTTGTCAACATTTCCTTGGCCTTGTTTTCTAGGGATCTTTCTAGGAGAAGATGCTTCCTTTTTAGATTTCAAAATCATTAATATTAGCACCAAAAGTGCTCCTGAAAGTGCCTTATTTTGAAATGATTAAGGCAGAGGAATCTTTGATAGCACACTAGGCATTAAAAATTATTTTAATTTATGATAATAATATTATTTAATTGATCATCATATGACAAGCCAAATAAATAAAAATAATTATTAAGAAATTATTAATTTTATACATGTAGATAAAAAATGAATATTGTTTTGAATGATTGTAATATTATTTCAATTTTTCTATATAAATTTATAATTATATTATATATAATTAAAAAGTACCTGATCAATGATGATTCTTGTTTATTACAATCTTAAATTATTAGTTGTTTATTTTTTATTTATTTATCCTATCTTAGTAAATTGATTTTCAATTTTAATTTTATTATATAGAATATTATCAGTCTTTATATTCTCTAAGTGAATTACTCTCTAAATTTCTAATTTTTATTGAAGTAAACTTTTCTTTTATCAACTTTAATTGAATATAATTAAAGGAATTGGTAGTCAAATAGATTTGGCTGTTTGTTTTGATCTTTGAAATTTAGATTAGTTTCTGTGTTTAGATTTACTTGTTATTTTATTTAAGCTAATGCTTCTGGTTTACACTTATTAATATATAATACATGTCTTTTTTACAATTATTTCTTTAATTTTTACGTGTAGCCAAAGAGCCTACTTATACTTTTATTTAAATTAGTTATAATTATAAATATTTTTCAGAAATTGTTAAATGATTATTCTTTTTTAGCTAGATTTAATGAACAATATATTTATAGGATGATGTAATGAAGATTGTAGAAAGCATTAATTCTGATTTGTAAATTAAGGATTGTAAATTAACTTCCGATTGAAATTAGGAAACAATAGTTGAAAAATAAATTAGATTCATAAAAATGGTGGTTAAGGTTTTAGAAATTATAGATGAGCAATTTTAACTTAATATAAGAATTCAAAAATATTCAAAAACTATATTTGAATATTAAACTGTTTAATTGTAATTGAAGATAATTGCTTTTTCATTACAATATGCATTTTTTATCTAAAAATGATAGACATTAAATAATTCTCTTTGTATTTATTAAAAATTATCTTTTATGAGTATGACAATAAAGAAATTAATACATTTAGAATGTCGAATCTACTAAATATACGATGGATTAGTAAACTAGTTTACAAAGAATTTAAATAATATTTATGCCAGAAATGGGTGAAGTAATTGAATAAAAATTATTTATTATATTATAATTTTAGCCTAAAACTTCCAATATTTAATTTAGCATATTTATCACATAATTGACCAAAATTTGCAAAACAGAAAATAATCAAAAATATAGTAAATTATTATTGCTTTTTAGAAATTACATAGCTATTGGTACTAAATATGGTTAAGTCATTAAATTAATGTCAAAAACATTCAAAATCTAATTTAATTAAAATTTAGGGATTTTATTTATTAGATAGGATGCATTAATCATACTTAGATGTCATTCTATAAAATTATAATAGTAATTCATTTTTGTATATTTATATATATAATTTTTCTAAATCAGAAACTCACTAAGCTCTTCATTTCTGCAGTTCTATCTATTTTGTTTTGTACATATTTTCCTTCTATGTAACATTTTAAAATGTACAAAGCATGTTCATCATGATTCTTAAAACCTTTGATATCTCTATCTTTCCTAAACTAAATCTTCTAGTCTATTAAAGGAGCACCTTTCTTGTCAAGTAGTTATAAATTTTGTAAGCTTTAATTCAAGAATAATGCTTCAAATAAGCTTTTATCATTTTATACTGGTTCACTATTTTTTATTGTATTTTAAAAGTTGAGGGATTCTTATTAAGAAACAGCATTCTATTCATTGATATTTTTTTAATTTTAAAACACCTAATTAGCCTATTACTAAGGAACAGGAGGAGGGGGAGGTGGAGGTGGGGGTGGAGGGACCATTTATGAAGTTCCTTAAACTTAATTGGAGGGATTTTAATATTCTAGTTAATTATTATTAGGGATTGGGGGAGAATATACAGACTAAGCTTATTTTAGATCCTACATTGGTAATTTGAAATTTTAATTTTCTTAATTTAACTCTGTTTGGTTATTTTAATTGCTTTAATTTGTTTAGTTATTGTAAATGCTTTAATTTGTTTGGTTATTTTAATTACTTTAATTTACATTAAATTAATTTTATTCATTAGATTGAGCTGGAGTTTGAGAAACATTGTATGAAATTTAGGATGTAGCCAATTATTTTTATTCATAAGATTGATTTTACACTTAAGAATATGGAGGAGGCTATTAATTTTGGGAGTTGTATTGTTAATTTGAACTTATGTTATAATTATTTTATTATTCAATTTATTGGTTTTTTGGTTCATTATTATAATTCTATTATTAATAAGGGCTTGAAATTTAATTTGGATAGGCTTAAGTTTATTAACTTTGATAATCTTAAGGTACTTTATTTTCATAGTTGTTTTGAAGATTATACTAATATCCTTAAGTAGGAGGAAATGAAGCAATTTAATTTGGAAGAGGGAGTTAAGGTGAACTTTAATATCCTGGAAGTTATGGTTAAGGTTAATAATTTAATTAAGTTTAATTGGCATTTGACTAAGGTTAAACTACTGAATATGGTGTTTAAGTTGTTGGTTGATTGGTGGTATAATTATATGTTGATGTTGATGTTGATGTGGCTTAATATCCGACTATTTATGGTTAAGGAGGAGAAGTATAAGGGTTATTATTTTAATATTAATTATTAGAAAAACCCTAAATTTGTGGTTAAGGAACAGACTAATAAGGATTTTGTGGTTGAACATAGATATTTTAATTATTATAATTATTGTAAGTTACCTATTATGGTTATTATTATTAATATGAATTCTATTAGGATTAAAATTATTAATATTATGAATCAGTCATATTTAATTATTGATTTGTGTATGATTAATATGGATTTGTAGATGGTTATTAAAAACCATATTATGAATTTACAACAGTATTAATTTGAGGTTGAACCTAAGTATAAACATCATCATCATATAGATAAAATGTGAAAGCTGTATAATTAGGTGTATAATGATGTCCATAACTTATAAGTTAAATTTAATGGACTTGATTGAATTATGTCAAATAGATATCTTTAATAAATTACTCATTAAATAGATCAATAAAATATTAGTTAATGATAAAAGGAGGAGTTTGGAAACTTGTTTAAAAATATCCAATTATTATATCTCTTAATTGAATAAGTTAAGGGAAATTATTAATGTTATTAGCTGCATACTCTAGAGTAGCAATTTGGCTAGCAAGGTGTGGTTTCAAAGCCATGATATTTCTATTTGAATATTATATAATATCAACTTTAGAAATTAACTTTTAAATCAACCTAAACTTTCAATTAATTATTTACTCTATTAAAAATCTATACATTTTTTAGTCTCTGAAGTGATAAATCAAATCTTTAATTAGATGTTATGCTGTATTAAAATTATTATGATAATGCGTATGATGATGAGTAGCATATCTATATAACTAAGCTAGCTGGATTTCTTTTTGTTAGACCTATATATTCTCATAGTTTTCTTTTAAAGCAGCCTATTCTAGAACAATGTGACATTATGGCACAAAAAATTACATAGATTAATTAATTCATTAAAAAATCATATATATTCGACATAAATACTTAGAAATGCTAATAAAATTTGTAAATTATATTTTCTATAAAATTTATACAAATAAATATAGGTCTTTAATAGCAAAATTATTGAATATCTTTTATATGACTAAATGTTTTAGCTAATTAAAATATGTTTATAGAGTATTATGAAATATATTTAAGGTTTTTTTTGGTAATATGGAATAATAAAAAATTTAAAGTAATATATTCATTTTAGTATGTATCTATCTTATTTAAAATCATTAAATTTTTATTATTTTCATTTTTTATAGAATGACACAAAATTATGCAATAATAAATAAATAATAATTTTCTCTTAATAATATATTATAAAATATAAAAGAAAATATTCTAAACTTATGATTGATATAAATAAATAATAAAAAATTCATTAATCAATCAAAATTTAATTAATAAGAGAAAGAAGTTGATTATCCATTAATTAAATAATTTTAATTTTATACTACTCACATCATTGTTGTTGTTGTTCCATTTTAATTATATATTTATGATAATAAAGAGTCATTCTTCGATATTGGTTATTTAGAGTATAAATATTTGTATCCTTTTGTTGTTTTAAAACCTTCTAAAAATATATCTTAACCTCCACATTAGGCTGCTTACTCATAATTTAATGCAAATCGTCTAAACATAATTATAAATAAAAATTACCTATAATAAGTTTATTGTAATAAATCTTGTAAATCTTTTCCACAATGTAATACACATTTAATTTGGACATTCAATTAACCAAATCTTTATTCTGTAAAACATTATTCTATATCTTCACTTTCTATATCAATAGTGAGTCCATGAAGGTATGCACATAATGGATGAAATGCATGTCTACAAGGTATTGTTTCATTGCCAAAACAAGTAAATCGAAATCCTATAATGATAAAAAATGTTTACCCTTGACATCACCACAAATAGCACATTAAGGAGTACTTGTTTCATTATCTTTACAAAATTATTTAATATCACTCTTATTTCTCAATTTATAAACACCTTTTTTTATAATAACTAAATTTGTTAGTAATAAACAAGAAACATGATAAAATTAATTATCAATTTATTTTTATGGAAGTCCTAATTTTTTACAAATTCTACATTTTGCTTAATCTAAAATAATATAATAGATTACTTCTTTTTGTAATACTTAATTTATTTTATTCAAATTAACATGCATCACAAAGAACATCTTATTCATCTAAATTTCCTATAAAACAATAGCAAATTTTATGAAATGAAGTTGAACATCTTCCACAATAAATAACTGGATTAAAATCTGTATAATGATAATCAAAGCATATTTTGCAATCAGTATCAAGTGGTTTTGAATTTTCTTTTGAGTGTATTTTTTTCTTTTTTAATTCAGCTTTTTAAGAGGATTGAGAATTCAAATTTAAACAAGGATAAAATGTATTTAGAACATCTTTTTATTTGTCCTTATATCCATTAATAAATGCTTTAACAATCTATGACCATTTTAATAAATCCATAATTTTTTGTTATTATTTTTTCATAGTTTCCAAAGTTGCATGATCTTTAGTATTAATAATTTAATTATTTATATTTTGTCTCATTTTATTATTTTCCTAAACAATTTCATTCAAATCCTCTTTTAATGCATGATATACAATATCTAATTATTCTACTGTCTCATTTTCTATATCTAATTATAATTCTAAAAGTTAATATTAAGATTTTATTTTTTCTTCCAATTTTATACATTAATCAAAATCCTCTTAACTTAATTCACAGGATTCTTGAAAAACAAGACTTTTTCCTACTGGCTCCTTTTTAGCAAATTTATATTTGTACTTCATTTTCAGAAATTTATAAATTTCTTAATAAAGGGACACTTTCTAATGGATATCTATAAAGTCTAAGATTTGTAAGGATCTATCCTTTGGTATTCGTTCGACCAATATAATCAGTGAAATTATATCGTATAAATCTAAAAGATTGTTTTACAATTAGTGTACTAATAGGAAGATTGTGAAGTTCGAAATACAACATTCATGGAGTCTCTATAAAGATATCTTAACTAAATTATTGGTTCTATTCATAATTCAAAGATTTACCAAAATTACTCTAATCTGAGTAATCTAATAGATCTTAATCTAAAGTTTATTCATGCCATTTAAATAAATTATCAAATTCTTCTAAATTTGTTTAAGGCATTTTTTCTTCTCCATTAAAAAAAACATCATCTATCTTATCCCACCATTTTGCAATAGATTAATCTCTTTTTGTTTCTCTCTCTTACCTTGGGAATTCTGGATCTTCTAATGAAATTTTAGTTATTTAAGGATATATTTATTATTTAATAATTGTATTCTTCTAATTTTCAATTTAAATCTATGATTATTATTATTATTATTATTATTATTATTATTATTATTATTATTATTCATATTAAGGTAATAACAAAGGCTTTATTTGTTATTATTATTAATGATTTTATTATTAGATTTGATAATTTAATGTCAATGGTACTTAAGATTCTATTTCTATTTGAGGTTTACTCTATTATTTTTTAGAAAGAGCTTAAACGATTAAATCATTAGTTATTATACTATTCTAAATTATTAAAAGACTTTTATTAGGTTATGGAGGTTAGATAATATAAGAAATTGATTTTTTTGATTCTGAGTCTTCTCCATCGCTAAATTTCCAATTTTTACTTGAATGCCTTGATTTTTTTCTATAGGAACGAGATCTTTTATGGTTATGCTTCTTTTTATGCTTCTTTTTATGTTTAGATCTATGATGTGAATGTGGTTCTTCTTATTATTCCTTCTAAATTATGTAAGAGTTATATAGAGAATTCACTGCTTCATCTAAATCTGTAACAACATTTTCGATTGAATCATGGTATGAACAAAATATCAATAACTAAGGAGGGCGGTGGCCATTCTCTTCAGTCTTAGATATTATAGGGTTGTCTACACAATCAAAGTGAAAGCTCTTTTTACATAAACTTTTACGAATTACACATTCTAATTATACCTCTGTGAACAACGAACAACTTATTTATAGTTTTTTTTCCCACATATTTAACAATGTTACAAGTATTCCTTGTAAAATAATTTTTTATTGACTGCCAACCGATGATTCCAATCAGATTTGTAAAATAATAGGCACTTTTTATGGATATACTCGTATTCTCTTGAGGATTCGAAATGAGGAAGCAATTTCACTAATCCTTCTGATTTCTTTCCACACGCAACACAATTTTAAAATACCATTAATTATAATTATTATTATATCTCATCTTTTTATCGATTCTAAATAATTAAATGTATAAGCATTTATATCTCATATAACATCAATAAAAATTAGATATTAACAGCAAACTTTATTATATTTTCATCAATACTTTAATTACTTTCTATATAAAATGATAAATCATTTAAAATTGTTATATAAATTCAATAAATTATTTGAAAGAATTTTCATAAAAAAGTATAACAACAGTATTTAATTTCTAAGATAATAATTAACTTATGTTTATAATATTAAATTATTGTAATTCTTAATTTTTTAATCATTATTTCAATTACTTTAAATAAATAAATCTATTAATTTATTTGTAATTGATTATAAATATAACTAATAATTTATCTAACTTTAATTGCTTTTCAAATTAGATTTTTCAATAAATTGCATCTAATACAGTAAAACTATTTTACTAAATTCTAATAATAAATCTATTTATATTTTAATAACAAGTAAATGATGTAATGATCTTATCATCTCTTCTAAATATTTAAATTAATTCCTTCATTTGAAATATATATTATGTCAAAAAAATAGAATTATTTATATTTCTACATTTATTAAGGATAATAAGTCTACTTAATATTATATTTAATTGTTCAAAATATTCTAAATATAATATGTAAACAATTAGTTTTAGAAATTTCTTACTATTTTACTTTACAATGATATATATTGAACTTACATTTATATATTAATTTTATCTATAATCAAATTAAAATCATAACTATTTAAATTCAGATTAAAAGTAAAATAATGATAAAAATTATATTCAATATTTCTAATAAAATAGTCTATTTTATTTTAATACTGAAATCATAGTTTAAATATTCAAAATTTAAGTATTTTGACTTATATTTTTAAAACCTTACTAATTTGATATTGTTATTAGATGTAAACTAATAAAATATTTGTTTAGCTCAGAATTCAAATATAAAATAAATGAATATTATAGATATTATCATAAATAGAAGTAATCTTTTAATCTTTCAATCAATTAATTTATCTTCTAAATGTTTATATTTTTAATTAATATTGACTATTCAAAAGATTTGAAAATATTCTAAATTTAAATTTATTATCTAAAGTACTAGAGATATATATAATTAATCAAACAATACTCTTAAATATTGAGATTAATTTAAAATGTGATTATTCCCAAAATTAACTTTACTAAAATTAAATTTGACTATTAGATCTGCATGAGAATAGGATAAAAATAAATTAAAGAGTATAATCTTAATACAACCTTGACTTTATAATGAACTTTTAATTTTATGTGTCTCTAGATCACGATTCTTTTAATTATTAAATTTATAATCTCAATAATAAAAAACAATAAAAATTGTAGATTAAAAATTAATCATTTGTTATATAGTCACTATTTCAAAGACCACAAGTATCTATCCTTTTTTCTTATAAATAGCAATATATATAATCATTTTTTTATAATATTTAGATTTTTCTAGTACAATTTTTTTTTTCTCAATCTATGAATATATAAAATATTTTGATTCACATTATTTGTAAACTCTAATCCATCAAATCAAATTAAATATTCATAGCTAGAACAATTATCTATAATATCTAGATAATTATTCCTATTAACTGATATTCTAAAATATTAATTGTAAATATACTTCAACTACATTCTATTATCATTACTTTTAGTTTTCTTTCTGATTTCTAATTCTTTTTTGTATTAATTAAAGTAAGAGAGAGAGAAANTAAGTCTACTTAATATTATATTTAATTGTTCAAAATATTCTAAATATAATATGTAAACAATTAGTTTTAGAAATTTCTTACTATTTTACTTTACAATGATATATATTGAACTTACATTTATATATTAATTTTATCTATAATCAAATTAAAATCATAACTATTTAAATTCAGATTAAAAGTAAAATAATGATAAAAATTATATTCAATATTTCTAATAAAATAGTCTATTTTATTTTAATACTGAAATCATAGTTTAAATATTCAAAATTTAAGTATTTTGACTTATATTTTTAAAACCTTACTAATTTGATATTGTTATTAGATGTAAACTAATAAAATATTTGTTTAGCTCAGAATTCAAATATAAAATAAATGAATATTATAGATATTATCATAAATAGAAGTAATCTTTTAATCTTTCAATCAATTAATTTATCTTCTAAATGTTTATATTTTTAATTAATATTGACTATTCAAAAGATTTGAAAATATTCTAAATTTAAATTTATTATCTAAAGTACTAGAGATATATATAATTAATCAAACAATACTCTTAAATATTGAGATTAATTTAAAATGTGATTATTCCCAAAATTAACTTTACTAAAATTAAATTTGACTATTAGATCTGCATGAGAATAGGATAAAAATAAATTAAAGAGTATAATCTTAATACAACCTTGACTTTATAATGAACTTTTAATTTTATGTGTCTCTAGATCACGATTCTTTTAATTATTAAATTTATAATCTCAATAATAAAAAACAATAAAAATTGTAGATTAAAAATTAATCATTTGTTATATAGTCACTATTTCAAAGACCACAAGTATCTATCCTTTTTTCTTATAAATAGCAATATATATAATCATTTTTTTATAATATTTAGATTTTTCTAGTACAATTTTTTTTTTCTCAATCTATGAATATATAAAATATTTTGATTCACATTATTTGTAAACTCTAATCCATCAAATCAAATTAAATATTCATAGCTAGAACAATTATCTATAATATCTAGATAATTATTCCTATTAACTGATATTCTAAAATATTAATTGTAAATATACTTCAACTACATTCTATTATCATTACTTTTAGTTTTCTTTCTGATTTCTAATTCTTTTTTGTATTAATTAAAGTAAGAGAGAGAGAAATATAATTAATATTCCTTTTACACCTTCAAATAGAGACAATTCTAATCATCCTATAATTGTTATACAATACTTTATTCTTATTAATTATAAATTAATAATTATTTATTATACATGTTTCAATAATAAAAACACATTAGAAAATATTGAACAAACACGTTAAATTTATGAATAACTTCTAGAAGTTTTTAGATTTAATTAAAATTATATTGAATGTATTTTATATTAATCCTATTTTTTTTTGATTAGATTAAATCATAAAAAATTGCTTTTGGTTCTTGTTATAATTATGAAGATCCAGAATCATTAATATTTTTTGAAATAGCTAAGCATAAACCAGTATAAGAAATAATTATACATATTAGGATACTTTTGTATGGTTGGGAGATGCTGCTTATGTTACTTCTAAAACTAACTAAAATAGAAGAATGTCTGAATTGAATGAAACAATTATCGAATACAAATTTAATCTTACAAAATATAATCCTGGTTACTAAAAATTGTTAAATGCCACATAAATAAATGGAATTTGGGATGATCATGATTACAATGAAAGAGATGGAATTTATTCAAATCCAGTAAAAGAAATGACTAGACAATTATTCTTAAATTTTTTAGATGTTAAAATTGATGATGAAAGAAGATTCAAAAAAGATGGAATTTACTATTCATTTAAATTAAAAAATACTAAGATAATACTTTTAGATGTAAGATGGAATAGAAATCCAGAATAATAAGATGTTTTAGGATAAAATTAATGGATTTGGTTAGAAAATGAACTTCAAGATAATGAAGTTGATTTATTTATAATAGGAAGTGGATCTCAAATTTTACCCAATGATGTATAAATTATACAATATTTAGAGGTTATTTATTGATGTATGGTACTTATCAAGCAGAAATAAACTACTATCAATTTTAAAAGGGAAAAATGTTTTATTAATGACAGGAGACGTTCACTTTGCTGAAATTTTATAAGATCCTTGTACTAATATAATTGAAGTTTGCTCATCTGGATTATCTTATGGATCTCACTATAGAAATATATTAAGAGGACTTTTTGAATTTTTTGCAGAAATATTTTAGCCAGACACATATTCATAATATTATGAAAGATTTGCTGATAAAAATTATGCTATTATTGATATTGATGAAAAGAAAATTTCAATTTATAATGAAAGTTCATTGTTATATTAAGTTGATTTTAATAAAACAACTTCAATAAAATGTGAAGATCTTGAATCAACTCCATTAATTTTTAAATACTTCTGGAATTTTAAAGATAAATTAAATGCTTTTTTTTCAATGTTATTATTTTATTAAATAGTTAAAGCATTAAAATTATGTATTATTCTATTGGTCTTAATAATTTTGTGTGTTTTTGGAATCCTGAAATTTTTTGGATTATCAATAATAATTAAAAGAAAGACAAATGAAAAAATAAAATAAAAAAATGAATGATTATTTTTATGTTTGATTGCCCAAAATAAATCAATTTTCACCATTATTTTTTTACTATTATTAATTTTGATTTTATAGCTTTTTTTGATTATTAAGTTCTAAGATTTCTGCTCTTAATTTATCTTTTTCTTTTTCAATATTTTCTATTTATAATTTTAAATCTGCATTCTTTTATATATATAATTATAAATAATACTTTTTATGCTATTTCTACTGCTAATAAATTAGCTTTATCAGCTCTTTATTAATTTAAGTTACTTTTCTCTTCATCCTCTTTTACTTTAAAGGCTAATTTTAAGAATTCTACTGTTAAATTTTAAAATGTGCTTGTTGATTTTTCAAAAGTTTCTATAAATTCATTTTATTTTCCTTTGTATACTGATAATTTCATTTTTTTATCATTTAATTATTTTTATGCATCTTAAATTAATTATTTTTCTTGCATTGCTTTTTAAGCATCACCCTACATTTTTTCGAATTATTCCATATATTTTTTAGTATCATTTTTTTATTCTTCTTCATTTTATTTTACCTTTTCCCAAAATTCTTTTTCTTTTTATTCATATTATGCAATTAAGGCTTGCATATCTTCACGAATTCTATAATATATTAAAATACATATATACTTTAAATTTTCTTCTGCAAATTTTTAAGCATCTTACTCTTCTTATTAAATCTTATCTTTAACATCCTTTACATCTTCATAAAATTTATCTTTCATTTATTTTCTATTAGCTTCCTCTATTTCTGGTAATTTTTTAAGTGTCTCATTTATTTTTCTTGCACTTGTATCTATTTCTTAGCAATTTTATTTCAATTTTTATAATTTATCTTATAATTGTGGATATTCCTTATGTAATAATTAATCTTTTTCTTATGTTTCTTCCTTTGCTCTTTTTTTTTAAATAAATTCATCCTATTATAATACTTAAAGAAATTCCAGCTAAATTTATAATTCTACTATTTACAAATTGTTATCCCAATTATTTTATTTCTTCAATCGACAAATCTTCATTCAAATTTTTTAATATTTCTTTATACAATTCCTCTAAAGAATATATATAAAGATACCTTGTTTAGTAAAGTCAACACTATCTAATACATTTGATGATAATTCAGCATATTTTTCAGCCAATAGTTTTTACATTATTCAAATTTTAAATTTAATATTAATAATTAATCATTTCTTATTTTGAGGTTTTGTTTAATTTACTTTTATATTCTAAACCTCATCAGAATTTTGTATAAAAATATCAAAATCTTCAGAATGATCCAACTGTTACTTAGACACTTAAGGTGGCTTTTTAATTTCTGGTTCCTTTGTAATTGTTATAGGCTTATCAGTTTTAATATAAATAATTCCACTACAATGATCACTTGTAGATTTGGTGGCTCCTTTAAAAACATTTAATAATTGTTTATTTTTTCTCAAAGCCATAAATCCAATAATAATTGAATCAATCTATTAATAATCTTAGGATTTTAAAAGCTCTAATTATTTTATTTCCTATTATAAATATTTAAATAATTCCTCAGAAAAATTACCACCTACAAAAACCTTGCCTTATTATTTATTTTTCTCTAAATATTATTAAATTTCTTAATAGATATATTATTTTAATGTTGCAACTTTAACAACTGGATTTAATTATTATTTATCAATTAATTCCATTAATTTACCCAAAGATAGAGTAGTATATTTAAATTTATCTGAATTTCGTAATTATTTAAGAAATTCTTCATTAATTGTTTTATCCTAAAATCCTTATAATAAAATATCTTTATTCCAATTAGATGCATAATTTAGTGCAAACATAGCAGGACATATAAAATCTCCAGAATAGGTTTCTTTATCATCTTTATTTTTATATTGAGTAAAAGATGCAAAACCTGATAAATTCAATAAGGAATCTAATTATTATTCAAATAATTTTGCTTACCCAATAATTTGAAAAGGTCCTCCATTTCCTTTTAAATAAAAATCATATGCAAGGAAGTTACAAATTACTCTTTAATTATATTTATTAGCAATTTATTGACAAAATTTACTTAAAAATACTGCTGATTTAGGCTTTTATATATCATTTTCTACTAAATGTATTAGAATTGTATTAAAAGCAAATAAAGTAACAGAATTACTTTCAATTTATTATTATACTTATTCAAATATTGTATTAATAAATTCACCAAACTCTATCTCTAATTCATTATATAATTTGTCATTAAACTTTTCATGTGACTTTTTAGAATATTCTTATATTGTTAAAATTATTCTTCTTCTTAATTATTCAGGATATTGAAATTATTAAAAATGAAGTTGTTTTTAGGACCATTAATCAGAATCCTTATCTTGATAAATAAATTCAGTTATAGATAATTCAATGCCATCCAATTGAATATCTGAATTAACTGCACAAACAATTATTTTTTCTTTATCCTCTTAATTCATAAATTATATTTAAAATATAAATATTCAAAATCTTGTTTTAGTTTTAGGTTGTACTTTATCAAATTCTTTCAATTTGAATTAATGTTATTGAGTTTAGTTTAAGGATTTGATTAGACTTTGATAAGCAAGTTTACTTGCTTTAGTATGTTTAGTTGCTGTTGAGGGTCTTTTATTTTATTTTAGTTTATGTTTTGAAATTGCATCATATTTCTTATCCATTAATTATTCTGCTTCATTCATATAACTGCCACTTAATACATTTTTCATAGGTGATTATGGTAAATAAGGTTTACCATACCTAAAATTTTCATCAGGTAAATTCACTTCAATTTAACTGCAACCTCTTTTTCTAAAAACTCTTGCATCATTACTTTTTCTGAATAGATAAAATTATTTCTGATCATGTAATTTATTTGAAATACACATTTTATTCAATTTCGTAAAGTCTCTATCAGGAGGATTTAATTCACTGTGATTATGATAATACCATGTAGAAGTTACTAAATGTAAAATTAAGGAATTACCTTACTATGCCCCTTCAGTATCATGAACAATTGCTTTACCAAAATAAATATCATTTGGAATTGTATAAATAGATTATTTTGCTGCTCCAACAGAGTCTTTTAACAATAAAGAATTTGTTCTATTTTTATTCCAAGGTTTCATTTGAATAGTAATAAATTTTATAAATAATTATAAATATGTTACTATTTTATGATTAAATGTCTTTAGAATTTAAAACAATTATTATTAAAAAATATATATATAAATTCTTAATTTAAATAATATAGGAGATTTAATTAACATAAACAATATTATTAAGATCATATTTATCAACATGATTTCTATTCAGGAATTATTTCACTTCCTTAACTTATATTAAACGAAGATCCATTTACTTATTATGAAAACTAACTTACTCTTTCTGTTAAATTTTATTTAATTGATTTGCCTTCTAATTTGATTCTTGTGATAAAATAAATCAAAGGTTCACTTTCCACAAATTCTTAAATACTAAATATCTAATTTAAATATCTTTATAATTATTATTATCTTTCTTAAATTTGTTATGGATTATCTATTGTCTATCCTATCAATCTTCTTTTAGGAAAATGAGGAAGACTATTTTTAAATTATTATTTTTCTAATAAATGATGACAATCTCGAAGATTACTGTACCTTGTTTCGAATCTATATTTTGTAGTTTTTTTAGTGTCTGTTAAAGTAATCAAATAAAGAACAAAATCATTTTTAATAGTAAATTCATTTATTGCAAAATGATATCTCTAATAATATCCTTAGATTTCTTTCCCTTTCTATTTATTTTTTTTAGTTGATTAAAACTATTCTTGTCTTTGAAGAAATGATTGTTTCAGTTAATCCATTTATAACCAACATAAATCTTTTGAATATTCAGTTTTAATTTATTCTAATCTACATGTTTCATCTAGTAATTGTGATTCAGGTAAAAATTCTCTCAAAAATTAAAATGACCATAAAGTAGAAATATTAAGGATGATTTCTAAATATTACTATAGTTCTTAACCCTAAGAATTTAAGAATTTAATTACTCTCGTTTTAATGTCATTTTAAGAATTTTTTGTTCTTCCAAACATTTTCTTACTAGGAAATCTTGGAAATGTTAATTTTAACTTGAATTCATTATTTTTCTTATATAATTATTAGTTTAAGGCTTTCAAATCTGAATATCGTTTATAAAGTGATTTGATAGCATTTTCACCATTAACATGAATTTTATAATAAATAACATCATTTCTAAATTCGTAATCATTTATTGTTACTCCATATCTGATCATGATATCTTTATTTTTGATTAATTATAATAATTATCAATATGGTTTTTCAATGATTTTAATTACACAAATTATGTTAATTTTAACTTATTAGTATATATATATATATATATTTAATAAATATAATCAATAAAATTTATCTAAAGTATATTTATCTTATTAGTATTAAATCAAAGAAGTCATAAACCTATAATTCATTATCTATTATTTCATTTTTTATTATTTTTATAAATAAAATATTTATTTAGTTGTTGTTCAGTAAATTATATAAGTTACTTGTAAAATTAAAGAGACTTAATTTCTGATGATATTATTGTTCTACTCTCTAAAAATTAATATCTAAAAATTCTCTATTGTTATTAAACTATAAATAATTTATTATCATTATAATTCATTTATTATAGGAATGCTTTAGAACTTTTTTAATTAATAAATTGAATAGTATTGTTGATTATAAGTTGTTTCTTATTATTAATTTTAAAATATTATATTATTTAATGATATTTTTAGGATAGTAGAATCATAGATTAATTTTTTAGTTATTTAAGATTTCGACATTTATTTATGATTTATCAGATGATTAAATTATATTAAGTCTACATGAGTAATGTTATTTGAACTCACATTTTCCAATTATAAATTAACTAAAAATTAAATCAAATAGAATTTCATAATTAATTATATTTATAATAAGGAATTACTATAAAATCATTAAGGAATTTAATAGATACATAATTGAATAGGGTAATATTATAAATATTAATATTCAATGCTCAACAATTTAATCTTCTATCAAATTTAGACTCAATCTATCTGAATGAGAATGTTAATTAGAAGGTGAATTATCTATTATAATAAGACCTCTAGTATTAATATCATGATCACTAATTCTAAGTTGAGTTAGAGGTATTTTAGGCAACTCACCTTAATGAGAATTAGAATTATCTATTTCATTTTTATGTGTCATTTAACTCAAACATAAATATTTTTATATATCTGCCTCTCCTAATTCTTAACGACATACAGGACATGTTGTATTCTTTTTAGTCCAATCTCTTAAACAATTTGTATGGAAGAAATGTTTACAAGGAGTCTCTCTTGTTTAATCTTTCTTTAAAAATTAGACTAAACAGACACAACACGTTTCAGTAAGTTAATGTTTTGGCACTTATTTTATAGGCATATATTTATCTAAAATTTCAATTGAAATTTTAGGCTATTCCTCATAGACTTTAGCTTATTTTCTTATTTGACATATGATGAAAATAGAAATTAGAATTCCTAATATAAATACTCCAATTATAGTTAAAATAGCCCATAAAGGAAATGAATCATCATTATCTTCAGAATTTTAATGTAATGTTAATGTAATAGCTGCATCATCATCAAGGTTATAAATTCCTACTGCAAATACATATGATTAAATATCTGTTTATCTTTATAATTTAACTTCTTAGCTATCCCCATTTGAGTTGAGTAAGAATAAATTAGATTAAAATGAGGGTAATACAGTTATATTTGCTTTATCTATTGGCAATAGAGCTACAATAAATGATGCCCAATCACTTTCTGCTTAAATCTAGATTATTTATTTTATTTTACTTTATAATCATAGTTATCCAATATATAATATACATAGTTCCAAGAATATTTAGGCACAATTAAAGTAGTTGAAGTATCTGTTTCAATTTCTTCCATATTTTACTAGCAATCTAAGCCATATGTAGGAAAATTACAAACCAACTTTTCAGGAGGCTATTTTATATTTTTGAGAATTTAATACTGAATCGAAAATTGTGATTGTGAATAATATTACTTTACTAAGATTAGATTCAGGTATGAAAGTTAACTTTTTATTAGAAACTGCTATTTGAATCTAATCACTCTAAACATATATTTATTAGACTTTTGATTTTGTTGCATATCCTTATTCATCATATAGAGTTTGAGTAACATCACTTAAGGTTGAATTAATCTCTAAGTAAGGAAGACAAGACTAGTCATCTGGGAATTTTTTTATTGTCAACTAATTATTAATCCTTTTCAATTACTTATATCAAGTGTTGTTTAGATGAGTCTAAATTGTAACTAAAATCCATATATACAGTTTCAAATGTTTTTTGGTAAATTTAAGTAGCACAACACAGACTCAAAAAGATGAATTATATTTGTAAAAACATAAATTTTTAAATTGATATTTACTGATTACCAACAAATATATTTTAATTCAACATCCCTTCTATTATTATGTTATCTAATTTTATATTCCCTTACTATTTCTCATTTGATTTTTATCATAAGAACCAGAATAAATCATTAATTAATCATTAATAGTTCTTTTATGAACTTCTAAATCATATTTACAATTAAAAATAAATAACTATATTGTGTATTAACAAATCTCAAACCACATATTAAAAAATGAGTTAATTTGGAATTATTTTCTAATTATGAATTTATATAAAATATTTTTTTATTATTGATATTTATTAGTTTATGATTCTTACCTAAAAATAATGACCATTTAACCATAGATTAAAATATGTTTGAACTTATAAATTTAGACTTTTTATTTAAATCATCCATAATTATTAAATAAATTAGATGAATATTTCATTTAAATTTTCTATTGAAAATACATTGAAATATCTGAGTAATAATTGAATATTTTCTAAACTGAGAAATATTCTGAAATGCTTAGGAAGAATGAATTTTAATTTTTTAATTATCAAATAATTAAATGAAGCTTTATTTAATTATATAAGTTCTTGAATTTTATTTGTAAAAAAACATAATTGAATTGATAAATATAAATGCAATTATTAATTATTTCATCATAATTTTAATCTTAATTATTATACTTATTCTCTATTATAAACTTCAACAATTTAAATTCAAGTAAATAATTTTGAATAGTATTTACATATTTATTATATTAAAATATATATTAAATAATAAAAATGATCATTTCATCCATGGTTTACTTGAATTATCACTATTGGAAAATCCTGGAAGATCATTCAGATAGTTTATAGATGGAACTGGAGTTGATTATTGTTATTATTAAGTCTATTATTCTTAATTAGATGGATTTTCTTCAATATGATTCCAGAAATCATTCTATTGTATTGGTTATTGAGTAGAGTCTGCTTAAATATCCATCTATTATTATTCTTCTGCATCTTCATTATTTGATTCTTCATTATCTGATTAATTTTATGCTTCAGTTTCTTATTTTTCTTTGATTTTTCTCTTCATATATGCTAACAACGCACCAATCAATAGAATGACTGCATATTTAATTTAAGAATACCAATTAACAAAAGCAATCGTATAGCAATTATCCATTACTTACCAATCTAAGTACTAGTATTTACTACTGATTTACCTATCTATGTCATAGTCAATTCCCCTTTAAGTAATTATTTAATTCTAAGCAAAGTTAAAAATTTATTAATTGATGTGACAGTTCCAGATTTTATGAATTCTAACAATTTTTTTGTTTTCTCCATCAACATTTAACCAAATATGCATAATTAAATTGTTGAAAATGAGATTCCCATTAAAGATTATATACCCTTTAAAGAATAATTACACAATATATACTTAAACTACACTTTAATAATCATTTCTAAGTCCATTTGGCTATTAAGGTTGTTGTCCTCTATTGTTGAGCATCATTCGAGGGTTCATATAATTATTTTACATAATAATTTTATTATATTTCTAATCATATATTTTATTGTATTATCCATTTTCAAAAGTATGATAAATATGAATTTAATTTAATTACTCAATTTAATCAACATAGTAGTATTAAAGTAGTTCTAATAGATATAATATAAATTTATTTGCTTATTAAGATTTTGGATATTAATTTAAGTCTATATCTATATATATAATTAATATACCACTAGACTTTTATATAAAATGATTACCATATAATAAAAATCTATATTCTAAATAGTTTATTTATATAAGTTATTATGAAATAATATAAATTTTTTTATTGAAATAGATAGATGGACAGAGAAAGTCGTTCTAGAGATGATAGTAAAGGTAGATAGGCCCCATTGTATAGGGAATCTCTATATCGAAGTTCATCTTCAGTAAGCAGCTAATTTAAAGTCTCTCCAGGCCCTATGCTATTCAAAGGTACAGAGAATTCAAGTGTGTTGAAAAATGCTCAACCTTAATTTGAAGAAGATGCAGATGGATTTAAAAAGCCACCAGCTCGTTCAGAGAAGTTAGAAGAAGAAAGGAAACGCAATAAATTACTTAATGAATACACAGCATTTGAATGGGAAAATATAGAATAGGAATCAGATAGAAAATGGTATGATTATGATGAAGATGATATTGGTAATGCTTCTTAATAAGATTGGGGAGGTGAAGTATTTAAAGGTTAAAAAGAAGAATTTAAATTTGAAGAATATAGTAAACGTAAAGGTTAGACAGTAAGATAATCAGAGAAAAATTAAGAATAAAATAGATGGGAACTTAATCGTATGATTGCATCAGATGTATTCAAAAGAAAAGCAGATGCTTGGGATTTTTATGAAGAAGAAAATGAAAAAAGAGTTGTAATACATGTACATGATATCAAACCACCTTTTTTGGATGGAAAAGTTGTTTATACTACTTAATTAACATAAGTATAAATTGTCAAAGATCCTAATTCAGATATGGCTAAGTTAGCAAAGTAAGGTTCAGAAGTTTTAATGTTAATGAGAGAAAAATAAGATAAAACTAAAATGAGAGAGAGATTTTGGGAATTAAGTGGATCAAAAATGGGAAAGGTTATGAATCTAGATAGAAAAAAAGAATAAGATCCAGATAGACATTTATTAAATGAAGATGGAGATTATGATTTTAAAGCTTCTTCTAGATATTAAACAGCTCTTTAAAGAGTTACTTAAGGTTAAAGTGATTTTGCTAGAAATAAAACAATCAAAGAACAAAGAGAATACTTACCAGTATTTCATTGTAGATCTGAATTAGTTTAATTATTACATGATAATAGAGTTTCTATTATTGTAGGAGAAACTGGATCAGGTAAGACTACTTAATTGACATAATATTTATATGAAGAAGGTTATACTAATACTGGTGTAATTGGATGTACTTAACCAAGAAGAGTTGCAGCAGTATCAGTAGCAAAAAGAGTAGCTGAAGAAATGGGAGTAGAATTAGGTAGTAAAGTAGGTTATGCCATTCGTTTTGAAGATTATACTAGTAAAGATACAGTCATTAAATATATGACAGATGGTGTTTTATTAAGAGAATCTCTTTAAGATCCTGATCTTGAAAAATATTCTGCTATCATTATGGATGAAGCACATGAAAGATCTTTAAATACAGATGTTTTATTTGGTATTCTTAAAAAAGTAGCATAAAGAAGAAGAGACATCAGAATTATTATTACATCTGCAACTATGAATGCTAAAAAATTCAGTGATTTTTTTGGTGGAGTACCTATCTATAAAATACCAGGTAGAACTTTTCCAGTTGATGTCAGATTTGAAAAAGCACCTGCCTAAGATTATGTTAGAAGTGCAATTAAGAAAACTATTGAAGTTCATATTCAATAACCTCCTGGAGATGTTTTAATATTTATGACAGGATAAGAAGATATTGAAACTACTTGTTATTTATTAGCTGAAGAACTCAATAAATTAAGTGAAGCAACTCCTCCACTTTTAATTTTACCAATTTATTCTTAATTAAGATCAGAAGAATAAGCAAGGATCTTTGAAAAAAGTGAATTTAGAAAATGTATAGTGGCAACAAATATAGCAGAAACATCTCTAACTTTAGATGGTGTAAAATATGTGATAGATACTGGATATTGTAAAATGAAAGTGTATAATCCTAGAATTGGTATGGATGCATTATAAGTTACTCCAATATCATAAGCTAATGCAGATTAACGAAAAGGTAGAGCTGGACGTACTGGACCTGGTATTTGTTTTAGATTGTATTCCTCATTAAATTATAGATAAGATATGTTAGAAAATAATATTCCTGAAATATAAAGAACAAATTTAGCTAATGTAGTTTTATTATTGAAATCATTAAATATTAATAATCTATTAGATTTCGATTTTATGGATCCTCCTCCTTAAGATACAATTTTAAATGCTATGTATTAATTGTGGGTCTTGGGAGCATTGGATAATGTAGGTGAATTAACAGAACTTGGTAGNTGGGAAAGGTTATGAATCTAGATAGAAAAAAAGAATAAGATCCAGATAGACATTTATTAAATGAAGATGGAGATTATGATTTTAAAGCTTCTTCTAGATATTAAACAGCTCTTTAAAGAGTTACTTAAGGTTAAAGTGATTTTGCTAGAAATAAAACAATCAAAGAACAAAGAGAATACTTACCAGTATTTCATTGTAGATCTGAATTAGTTTAATTATTACATGATAATAGAGTTTCTATTATTGTAGGAGAAACTGGATCAGGTAAGACTACTTAATTGACATAATATTTATATGAAGAAGGTTATACTAATACTGGTGTAATTGGATGTACTTAACCAAGAAGAGTTGCAGCAGTATCAGTAGCAAAAAGAGTAGCTGAAGAAATGGGAGTAGAATTAGGTAGTAAAGTAGGTTATGCCATTCGTTTTGAAGATTATACTAGTAAAGATACAGTCATTAAATATATGACAGATGGTGTTTTATTAAGAGAATCTCTTTAAGATCCTGATCTTGAAAAATATTCTGCTATCATTATGGATGAAGCACATGAAAGATCTTTAAATACAGATGTTTTATTTGGTATTCTTAAAAAAGTAGCATAAAGAAGAAGAGACATCAGAATTATTATTACATCTGCAACTATGAATGCTAAAAAATTCAGTGATTTTTTTGGTGGAGTACCTATCTATAAAATACCAGGTAGAACTTTTCCAGTTGATGTCAGATTTGAAAAAGCACCTGCCTAAGATTATGTTAGAAGTGCAATTAAGAAAACTATTGAAGTTCATATTCAATAACCTCCTGGAGATGTTTTAATATTTATGACAGGATAAGAAGATATTGAAACTACTTGTTATTTATTAGCTGAAGAACTCAATAAATTAAGTGAAGCAACTCCTCCACTTTTAATTTTACCAATTTATTCTTAATTAAGATCAGAAGAATAAGCAAGGATCTTTGAAAAAAGTGAATTTAGAAAATGTATAGTGGCAACAAATATAGCAGAAACATCTCTAACTTTAGATGGTGTAAAATATGTGATAGATACTGGATATTGTAAAATGAAAGTGTATAATCCTAGAATTGGTATGGATGCATTATAAGTTACTCCAATATCATAAGCTAATGCAGATTAACGAAAAGGTAGAGCTGGACGTACTGGACCTGGTATTTGTTTTAGATTGTATTCCTCATTAAATTATAGATAAGATATGTTAGAAAATAATATTCCTGAAATATAAAGAACAAATTTAGCTAATGTAGTTTTATTATTGAAATCATTAAATATTAATAATCTATTAGATTTCGATTTTATGGATCCTCCTCCTTAAGATACAATTTTAAATGCTATGTATTAATTGTGGGTCTTGGGAGCATTGGATAATGTAGGTGAATTAACAGAACTTGGTAGAAAAATGAGTGAGTTCCCATTAGATCCACCATTATCAAAAATGTTAATAAAAGGAGATTAATTAGGATGCACTGAAGAAATACTAACAGTTGTTAGTATGTTAAGTGTACCAGGAATATTTTATAGACCAAAAGATAGAGAAGCAGAAAGTGATGCTGCTAGAGAAAAGTTATTTGTTGGAGAAAGTGATCATTTAACAATGTTAAATGTATTTGAATAATGGAAAAGACATGAATTTTCACCTGAATGGTGTAATGATCATTTTGTTTAAGCAAAAAGTATGAGAAAAGTAAGAGAAGTAAGAGCTTAATTAAAAGATATTGCTGGTAAATTAGGATTAAAAATGAGTACTTGTAATTTCTCATATGATGTTGTTAGAAAGGCTATTTGTTCAGCATATTTTTAGAATGCAGCTAAAATTAAAGGAGTTGGAGATTATATAAATTTACGTACAGGTATGCCATGTAAATTACATCCTTCAAGTGCTTTATATTCTTTAGGTTATGCTCCAGATTATGTTGTTTATCATGAATTGGTAATGACATCTAAAGAATATATGCATTGTGTAAGTGCTGTTGATCCTTAATGGTTAGCTGAAATGGGTCCTATGTTTTTTAGTATTAAAGAAGATGGTGAAACTAGAGCATCTCGTATTGAAAGTGAAAAAAAGNACCTGCCTAAGATTATGTTAGAAGTGCAATTAAGAAAACTATTGAAGTTCATATTCAATAACCTCCTGGAGATGTTTTAATATTTATGACAGGATAAGAAGATATTGAAACTACTTGTTATTTATTAGCTGAAGAACTCAATAAATTAAGTGAAGCAACTCCTCCTCTTTTAATTTTACCAATTTATTCTTAATTAAGATCTGAAGAATAAGCAAGGATCTTTGAAAAAAGTGAATTTAGAAAATGTATAGTGGCAACAAATATAGCAGAAACATCTCTAACTTTAGATGGTGTAAAATATGTGATAGATACTGGATATTGTAAAATGAAAGTGTATAATCCTAGAATTGGTATGGATGCATTATAAGTTACTCCAATATCATAAGCTAATGCAGATTAACGAAAAGGTAGAGCTGGACGTACTGGACCTGGTATTTGTTTTAGATTGTATTCCTCATTAAATTATAGATAAGATATGTTAGAAAATAATATTCCTGAAATATAAAGAACAAATTTAGCTAATGTAGTTTTATTATTGAAATCATTAAATATTAATAATCTATTAGATTTCGATTTTATGGATCCTCCTCCTTAAGATACAATTTTAAATGCTATGTATTAATTGTGGGTCTTGGGAGCATTGGATAATGTAGGTGAATTAACAGAACTTGGTAGAAAAATGAGTGAGTTCCCATTAGATCCACCATTATCAAAAATGTTAATAAAAGGAGATTAATTAGGATGCACTGAAGAAATACTAACAGTTGTTAGTATGTTAAGTGTACCAGGAATATTTTATAGACCAAAAGATAGAGAAGCAGAAAGTGATGCTGCTAGAGAAAAGTTATTTGTTGGAGAAAGTGATCATTTAACAATGTTAAATGTATTTGAATAATGGAAAAGACATGAATTTTCACCTGAATGGTGTAATGATCATTTTGTTTAAGCAAAAAGTATGAGAAAAGTAAGAGAAGTAAGAGCTTAATTAAAAGATATTGCTGGTAAATTAGGATTAAAAATGAGTACTTGTAATTTCTCATATGATGTTGTTAGAAAGGCTATTTGTTCAGCATATTTTTAGAATGCAGCTAAAATTAAAGGAGTTGGAGATTATATAAATTTACGTACAGGTATGCCATGTAAATTACATCCTTCAAGTGCTTTATATTCTTTAGGTTATGCTCCAGATTATGTTGTTTATCATGAATTGGTAATGACATCTAAAGAATATATGCATTGTGTAAGTGCTGTTGATCCTTAATGGTTAGCTGAAATGGGTCCTATGTTTTTTAGTATTAAAGAAGATGGTGAAACTAGAGCATCTCGTATTGAAAGTGAAAAAAAGAGTAAAAGAGAAATAGAATTATCTATTGAAAAAGCTAAAAGAGAACATGAAATGAAAAGTGAAGAATGTTAAAGAAGAATAGAGAAAGAAGATAGAGAGAGAAGATTAATTAGTGAACGTACAGCTACATTAGGATGTAGACCAAGTAGAATATAAACACCATTAAGATAATAAATATCATCAATTGCTGCAACTCCTATAAGAAGTGAATGTGAATCTGTTATTTCAGGAATGACAAGTATCTAAGCTAAATAAATGAGAATGGCATATTATGATGATGAAGAAGAATAAGATGTTGGTAGAAACAAAATACCTAAATTAGAATGATTATTTAAATGAGTTCTATGTATAAAAGATATTAGTTATAATTGAATTCATATTCAATATATATATTTTAAAACTTGTGATTATTTAATTATAAAATATTTATATCATTTTGTAAAATTTTATTAATAAATAATGCAAGATAATCTTGATTAGACAGCTTCCTTTTTCTATAACCCTAAAATCAAAATCCCAAAATTAAAATGTACTTATGAAGTTATTTGTTCTCCTGATTTCGAAATTCCTACTTTTAGTAGAAAAGAAGACTCTTGTTAATAAAAATCATTATTCAAGTAATGTCAAAGGAGAAATAGTCAAACAAACATTGTTCACAATAATTTAAGCAATATATTCAATTAAATCTCACTAAAAAAGGCAAATTCAGACTCTAAAACCAATCCAAAGGTTCCACCACTTAAGATACAGTAAAAATCTCTGCTTTCTAAAGTTTCAGACTAGAAATCAATAAGTTAACATTCCACAACTATATTAAGAGGAAGAGGTAGTATAAAAATACTTCAAAATCCATTTATCACAGACTCTCGCAATTCTTAAAAATCAACTTGTACATCAGGAAGCCAACCTCCATAACCCAAAGGAAAACCATTTTTATAAAGAAAAGCTTAAATACAAATGGTGAATAGAGTATTCTCTTCGATGTCTTAACATAGATGAAATTTAATTAAATTTATGTCTCAAAACTTTCGCAGAATGTTCATTTCTCATATGTAATTCAATTATATGAGATTTATCATATAAACTCTATACTTATTTACTATTATTTTAATCTAAAATTAGTATTATTAAAAAGTCTATCTTGATAATATTTGTTATAATATTTAAAGTTTCATTCTTTTGACAAAAAAATAATAGCTTAATATCATTATTATTTGCAATTATTTCAAATATAGATAGAATGTATTGAAAAATTTTATATTTGTGAACCTAAAAAATATGTCTTATTATCATAATAAATAATGAAATATATTAATTGAGTATTTGAAGTAATTCTTTACCAAAATCAATTAAATTAATAGTATTATGAAAATTAAACTAAAAAAAATAAGATGATTATATATTTAATAATTTATCTAACGAATTATGGATCATTTTGAGAGAATTCGAAAAATTGGTAAAGGTAATTTTGGGGATGTTCTTTTGGTATAAAGAAAAAGTGATGGAAAAGTAAATTTACTCTTTCTAATTACAGGAATTTGCACTAAAAAGAGTAGATTTAAGTATGAGGGAGAGTTTTGTGGTTGACCCTCTTAATGAAGTTAAGGTTCTCAAATCATTAGACCATACGAACATAATTAAACACTATGATTCATTTGTCCATAATAATAAACTATGTATTCTAATGGAATATGCCGATAATGGTAAATTTTGAAAAAATAATCTAAGCTGATCTTAGTTTAAAAATAAAGGAAGCTAAATAAAATAAATAATTCATTCAAGAATCTACAGTTCTGTATTTCATTTATGCATTATTATAGATTCTTGCCTGGTTGACCTAATTGGCAGTAGCACTTGATTATCTTCATTCTCAAAAGATACTTCATAGAGATATTAAAGTACAAAACATATTCCTTTGCAATGATGGAATAGTAATATTAATATCAAAAATATAATAGGTGAAATTGGGTGATTTTGGTATATCTAGAACATTAGAAAATACATCTGAATTGGCATAAACATCAATAGGTATTAAATTAAATGAATATATTAAGGAACACCATTTTATCTATCACCTGAATTATGTTAGAACTAGTCATATAATCATAAGATTGATATATGGATGTTAGGATGTGCCATTTATGAATTATGTACATTATAAAAACCATTTACTGCTGAATCAATTAATGTATTATAATTAATATTAAATATAGGCTTTAGCTACTAAAATTATTAATGAATAACATACAAAAATCTCTGATCACTATTCAGAATTTTTATCAAATCTTATTGATGAAATGTTATAAAAACAACCAGAAAAAAGACCAGAAATTTCAAAAATTTTATCATTCCCTTAAATTCAAATAGAAATATAAAAACTATCTAAAATCTATCAATCTACTAAAATTTCATATTTAAATAAAGGATTCTCATCCAGTAAAAAGAATAACAGAATGCAATAAAATTCTATACATTTTTTAGTTGAAAAATCAAAATAATAATAAGGATAATCGCCAATTTCTTCTAGAAGAAGCCAGTCTAAAGTTAACACTCCTTATTAAGGTTATAAAACAGATATTATTGATTAAAATAGTCCAAATTTTAAATTAAATGGAAAACTATTAGCATCTAATTTACATACTCTTCCAGATTATATAGATGATTAATAAAAAACTTAAACACCTATATCTACTCAAAGAACAGAATCAAATGAAATTAATTCTAAACATCTAAAATATTAAAAATCTATTTCAATTAATACTCAAATTGATGATAATAATAACAAAAGAAATTAAGAAATTGAAAGCTAACCTACTCTTATAAAAAATTAAAAATCATTTACATTTGTTGATTTATTTTTTAATCCAAATACTCCTACATCTCCTAATAGATCATTATTATTAACAGACTTCCTTAAAAGAAAATTAGGAAATGAAAAATTTTATTAAATGAAAATAGTATATATATATTATATCATTTAGTTACTTGAATAAAATAATGATCCAATTAAGTTATTAGATTAAGAAAAAGGTTTAGTCTAAGATATTATAGGAGAATAAAACATGGATTGTGTTAGAGTAATATTTCAATAAATCATTAGATTTTTAAATTATTAATCAGTTGTTCTATAACTCCTTAAGCAAGTCATGGTAGAGCTAAAAGTGCTTAAGTATTCACTTAAGAAAAGCAAGAAACATTAATAGATATAATAAAAGAATCTGACTTTTAGCCTTCAAATTCAATAGGCTCAAATCCAGGATTAGAAATTTCATTCAAAAATCTCTAAAATTTTACTGAGAACTAATAATCAGAACAATATTAATTAAAGGAATGAGTTTATAAACAACTAAAATTTCTTTTATTTTAATTAAACCTCTATTTAATTATAATTTCAAAGATATTTATTTTTAATTTAAATAATAATATACATTATATGTTAGACCAAAACAATTTACAATATTTTCTAAAAGAATAAACATACTTTGAAGAAACAATGATTTTAATGTTAATTTTAAGGTATCAACTATATTACTTAAAATGAAATATATTTGGTTAGGATAATTAAATTCTAAAAAATTTTAAGTTTATTTAAATTCAAAATACTATTATTTTCTATTTGAGTCATATAATAATAATATATAACAAATTAATATTAGAGGTTGATATATATCTAAAATACCTAATTAATATAATAAATTTGCCTATAATATTAGTACTATTTTAGAATTAATTACTAATGATTGTTAATTAGATAATTATTCAAAAATTACATTTATTACATGTGAATAAGTATTTCAATTTTAAGATATGTTTGTATAAATCTTAAATCAATCAGTAATCTAAGTATGAATTTGAAAATTTATAACATATTTTAAAATCCATTTTTATTATTTAGATTGGATAATTAAATACAATATTTATTTTTTTAATTATTAAATATCATTGAATAGGTAATAATCCATTTATTTTACAAATATGTAAATACTTAAACCAAGTTAATTATTTTAATCAATAGAAAAGTTGTTATAATTTATTTCAAAAAATACAAATTAATTTATATTACGTAATCAAATCGTTATCCTACTTAACGATATCCAATCATGCAACAAAAAAGATAAAAAAAGTATGTTTAAATATAAAAATTAGATTATCAAGAAGTCCTTAAAGAAATCCATAAACAACCAATACTACTCATATAAGTACTACAACTCATAACTCTCCATATAAGTTTTCTAAGAAGAGAGGTACTTCAGTAACAATCCCAACCGATTCATATAGAATTGGGAGAGGAGAAAAAGCTGAGAAACGTAAGGTTTCTAAAATATAGAAATTAACTAATAATGAAAACAATAATTTTGTAAAGAAAGAGTCAAAGTTAAAGATTATACAAAGAAGATAGCAAATAGGTTTGGATTTCTTAAACAAAATACCAAAAAAAAGTATTTAATTGCTCCTTCAAAGTATGGTTTCACTTTTGTAATATAGGATAAAAAATTTAAGGGCTTTCTCTATTAAAGCACAGCATCCCTAAGAATTCATTAAATTGTAGATTAAATATAAAGTAGAGAAATTAATTACATCAGTAGTATAAACAAAATGAATAAATGAATAGAAAAAAGGATACAAAAAAATTATTGCAAAATAGTCAAAATATTTTAAAAAGTATAAGTATATTAAATTATAGAAAGTAAATCATAATAAAGATGTAAAAAAAGGAGTATAACTTCAATAACTTAAAAGAAATAACTGACTTAAAGAAATTCAAGTTCCAAGACTAAAAATGAGATTACAACTTAACTAACTGTTTATGAAGGAGGATTGTTGGAAAAATATAAATAATTATAAGCTCGATATTCAAAAATATATTAAAATTTTTTTGATGAGAGTAGTTGCGTACAATATTTAACAGATACAGATCCAAATTTAATGCCTTCTTAACCAACTTCGAATAAACAGTAACAAGTTTTAATTGAAGAATTTATATTAAATAGAGATGAAATTAATTATCTAAAAGAATTTGGCATTCTCGAAAATGAATTAAATAGAATGCATTCTGCAGCAACTAAAATTTAGAAGGTTTGGAGAGGATTTATTACAAGAAAATAAATCTTTGATTAATAATTTGAATAATATTATTATAAGAAATTAGAAATTTTTAATGATGAAACATTCAGAAGCTAATTTCGTTTTGAAAAAGATAATCAATCTATTTAATAAGGCAATGAATAAACTTTAAATTAAATTACTTATTAAAATAATCATAATTTTAATTAAGATTTAGAATCTTACAAAAAGGAAATATAGAAATAAAAAAATAGTCCAAAGATTTCTGATAAATTTGTTAAGTATTAAAAAATGAAATGGCAAGAACTTCTTAATTATATATCTTAATTACAAAGTCAATCTTAGGAGAAAACTATTAATGAAATTCTTAAAGATTTGAAATTATTCACTTAATAATGTTTTTAAGATTGTTCTCTTAGTAGATTTTAAATTAAGAAATTAGAGATATAAGTTCCATAATTTTCATAAGAATCTATAGTAATGAGTGAAATTCGATAAGCTATGTGTTCTGAAAAGTTAATTAGATAATTACTTACCACTTCAAAAAAAATAGAGAATGAATAAATTTTTGAAGAGTAAACATTTTATAATTTTGCTTCAAAAAAGATGGATGAAATTATGAATAGATCCTAAATAGATGATTTAATAAAAATGAGATAGTTAATTGTGTAAGAAAAATAGAAATTCTAATAATAGGCTTTAACCTAAAAATTTGAATAAAAATTAATTTCTCCTAAAACTTTTAAAGAAAAATATTAAACTTTAGAAAAATGGGTTAATAAATAAAATGAAGATTTTGAAAATAATAAAATTATTTTTGAAAAAGGATGGTAAGGATTATATAATACTTTTATTTAAACTGAAAAAGAACTTAAATTTTTACATTAATAAAAGTATTTGTAATATTCTCAACTTTCAAATTCTTAGTAGTTTAT